CCACATGATCATAAGCTTTCTCGAAATCTATGAAAATAAAAGCGGCATTATGTTTGGACTGTCTTGATAATTTAATTAATTCGTTAACCAATAGTTTATTATATTGAATGTTTCTGCCCTCGATAAATCCTGTTTGAGTAGGATGGATGATCTCAGTTGCTATTTTCAGCAAACGATTTGCTAACGCTTTTGCTGCCAATTTATATACCACTAAGAGAAGTGTGATAGGCCTATAGTTACAAATATTTGTTTTGTCTCCTTTTTTATATAACAACGTCAGCACCCCTTGGTTGACTAGCTCCCCCATTCTTCCTGAGATCCATACTGCGTGGTAGAAATCCATGAGGTCTTGGACGATAAAATCCCACATTGTTTCCCATAATTCTTTGGGTAGTCCGTCTATACCCGGAGTTTTTTCCTCCTCCATCATCATGAGGGTTGTCCATATTTCTTCTTTTGTTAGTGGTTGATCAAGCTTAGCTCTCTGTTGCTCTGTTATGTTTTTATTCAGGGGCTGCATGAACTCCTCAATCTCTTCCCTTCTTTGTTCTTTTTGTAGGTGTTTGCATTCCGAAGTGAAAAGATTCTTATAAAATTCTCTCGCAATTTTCGTACATTCCGCTGTCGATGATACCATAGATTGATGATTGGTTTGGGGATCAGTAAAAGCTTCAATGATTGTCCGGCTTGTTTTAGCCTTTGCTAGTGCAAAGAACCTAGCATCCATGGTCCCTTCAGTGACATGACCTCTCATTTTGCCTCAAATTCTGATTCCTTGCCACCGATGTTCCATATATTCTAGTAGATTGGATTCCAATTTGTTAATTTCTGTATTTATCTTGGCTAGTTCTGCATCAGTCTTATCTTCCTCTTCTTGTTGATGTAAGTCATTGAGTTGTTTTTGAATATTGATTTCTTCTAGGTGGCGTTTTTGAGCCAACAATTTGGAATATTCATTGCATTTACGGCCTAAAAAATTAAAACCGTTGTTGAACCAGTGTATATCATCTTGGAATAAGTCCCTCTGTTCCCTCTAGAAGGACCAGACGTCTTGTAGATATACTTTAAATCGATCGATTTTTAGTATCGAAGTGTTCAATTTGTAGAATCCTCTGCCTTGATCCGACTTTTTCCTGAATGATAATATTATCACATTCATGGCATGATCGAGGCCTGGAAAGACGCTTTGCGGGAAGATGTCTGCCACTTGAAGCGCTCCTTCCAACTCTTTTGACAATAGTATGAGGTCTATGCGAGATTTCGAGGTTCTTGTCATTTGGCCCCTTCTAAAGCACGTGTAGGTTCTTTTTGTGGGGAAGAGGCGTCTATAAGCATCAAAGGTGTGTAAAGACTGGCACATGTCCTCAATGATTTGCTCGTCTATCTCAATATATGCTGTACAGGAAGAGGGGATTTGCCAACGATCCAGATGTCTGTTGGGGACTGCATTGAAATCTCCTGCTATTACGACTAGGATTCCTGTTGGGAGACGGTTCTTTATGGATTCAAAGAACCTTTTCCTTTCCCCTACCTCATTTGGGCCATACACGCACAAGATCGTTATCACCTCCAATTCCAGCATTGCTAGTATAAATACCCATCTCCCCTCCTCCTTGTCTGCTTCCCAGTATACGGGATCAATTCTTGAGTCTGGTGGGATCCAAATGGCTACCCCTGCGCTTCCTGGTCGTGGGGAGTGTGCTCTAAAGGCTTGATGAGGCCATATATGTTTATGTTTGTGCTGATGATTTGCATTGTCCATCAAGTGAGTCTCTTGTATACAGATGACATCCGGCCAGTCTCTGCCTTCCACTCCTTTGAGTTGTTCATAGATAGCCTGTCTTTTTTGTGGTTTGGCAGTCGCTAGGCCGTTCAGATTAAGCGACCGAAGATCTAAATCTGCTGCTCTTTTTAGAGACTTCCATTCCTTGTTTCTATTATAGAGCACGTCCACTGTATTGATACCTCCCATCTTGTCTTT